CCATTTTTACCACTACTTCCGAATTGCGACACCTTGTTGTGGGAACAAACAATGCGAAAGTACAAAAGAGGCGCAATGTTGCTTGATTTCTGACATGTTTTTGTTTGCTTGAGCTTGATTCAAAAACTGTTTTTATGCGTGAACTCTACTGGTTCTATTGAAAAAGCTCGATTTCCTCAATGTATTGACATACCTGTGCTTTTTTCAACATCAACGTTCCAGCATTCTGGAAGCTGATCGTGTACTGTTACACATCCACGCTTTTAATAGCGATCCTGTATTCTACACCATTCCGATCGGAGTGTCGACAAAAATACCGATATTTACATTGGAAGACAAAACGAAGGAGATGAGCGTTTTTCTCGGGTAGGGATTGTTCATGTGGTACGAGTGGTTGCTTGGTGGGAGGTGGAAGTAGGTCATCTTTTGTGATTCACATTTGCTTCAGAGTTGAACAAGAAAATGCGAAGACCTTTGTGGGTTTCTGGAGTTCACTGTGCCAATTAAATGAGAAGTCGTGGTGAGTAATGTTCCAGTAGAGTTATTGCATTTTTTTGAGCTTTTTGCACATTTTAAATAGATTGAATGACACATGAAAATTTCCCTATGAAATGTTCTATAATCACCAGTTTCCAGGCAAAAATGGGTTCACATGCATGCAGAAAGAGTAGTATTGAGAAGCTCAAACCTACCGTTTAATATGTTTGGGCTCAAGAATGATGTGAAGGCAAGCGGTGTTTCTTCCTCCAGTTCCTTAGTTTTATCTGTAAACCGAGATCTCGGTCTCTATTTTTCGATTTTTATTGTTTTTGTTTTTTTCCACTTTTTATTGTAGTAATTCTAATTCCCTTCGAATTGGTAAGCTTATTTTCAGATTGATTGTCGCGTCGCTGAGGACAAGCTGCATGATCTACTCAGAGAACAGAGTTCATTTTGTCTCGTGCAAAAACAGACTTATGTGACCTTTGTTTACGGGTGAGTATAAGCTACACCTGAGTCTAGCTATATATTTATTGGCACGGAATTTGATGCTCTCGCGAAATTCTTTGTGTTAAACCTAGAAAATAGGGCGCGCTTGCAAATTCTGTGAAGCACTATTCTGTCCGGGATTATCCTTTTGTGTTGTTCCATCGTGCAGCTTTCGGTAGAAGAGTCAACGTTTTATTGGACTGTTGGCCAAATTGTTGCTTTTGGCTGTTTTTGTTTTCCTTTTGCAAATATGTCATACATTGAGGACTTTTGCCCCTCAGACCGAATTGAGCTCCTCGATTTTGGCTATCAGTCTCCCTCTAAGAGTCTATTTTGAGGCGGTTAGACAATGTCCAGAAGGAGCTACTTCTCACAAAGTTTTATTATGACCGCATTTCAAAAAACTAAATTATTTCAGAAAGAATAGCGATGTGCCAGTGTACTTCTACATGATCAAAGTGACGCTAGAGGCGCCATGTCTCATTCTCAGGACGGCTTTTCTTGGTGGCATAAGTGGTACCGAACGTAGAAATGT